ACATGTTTTCTGCTTTAACAAACCCCTTGAGAATTAATCTGATTAACTTCAGATTTGCTCAATACAATTTTAAGACCAAAAATATTTAAAGTTGGAAACAGTGGACTAGAAACAGATGTTATGGTGTGTGTCTCAAACACTTCAGAAACCACACATAAGAGCCACACTCTGGATCTTCTTTGAAGTGAACAGCCGATACTGGTCAGTCCTCAGGTTTTAGATGTCTCTGTTGGACATTTCATTATAACAGAAAGTCTGCAACAGTGGGTGAGAATCCTAGGGATGATATTAAATGTACAGTACAGGCCAAAAGTTTGGACACACCTTCTCATTCAATGCGTTTTCTTTATTTTCATGACTATTTACATTGTAGATTCTCACTGAAGGCATCAAAACTATGAATGAACACATGTGGAGTTATGTACTTAACAAAAAAAGGTGAAATAACTGAAAACATGTTTTATATTCTAGTTTCTTCAAAATAGCCACCCTTTGCTCTGATTACTGCTTTGCACACTCTTGGCATTCTCTCCATGAGCTTCAAGAGGTAGTCACCTGAAATGGTTTCCACTTCACAGGTGTGCCTTATCAGGGTTAATTAGTGGAATTTCTTGCTTTATCAATGGGGTTGGGACCATCAGTTGTGTTGTGCAGAAGTCAGGTTAATACACAGCCGACAGCCCTATTGGACAACTGTTAAAATTCATATTATGGCAAGAACCAATCAGCTAACTAAAGAAAAACAAGTGGCCATCATTACTTTAAAAAATGAAGGTCAGTCAGTCCGGAAAATTGCAAAAACTTTAAACGTGTCCCCAAGTGGAGTCGCAAAAACCATCAAGCTCTACAACGAAACTGGCACACATGAGGACCGACCCAGGAAAGGAAGACCAAGAGTCACCTCTGCTTCTGAGGATAAGTTCATCCGAGTCACCAGCCTCAGAAATCGCAAGTTAACAGCAGCTCAGATCAGAGACCAGATGAATGCCACACAGAGTTCTAGCAGCAGACCCATCTCTAGAACAACTGTTAAGACTGCCCGAATCAGGCCTTCATGGTCAAATAGCTGCTAGGAAACCACTGCTGAGAGGCAACAAGCAGAAGAGATTTGTTTGGGCCAAGAAACACAAGGAATGGACATTAGACCAGTGGAAATCTGTGCTTTGGTCTGATGAGTCCAAATTTGAGATCTTTGGTTCCAACCGCCGTGTCTTTGTGAGACACAGAAAAGGTGAACGGATGGATTCCACATGCCTGGTTCCCACTGTGAAGCATGGAGGAGGAGGTGTGATGGTGTGGGGGTGTTTTGCTGGTGACACTGTTGGGGATTTATTCAAAATTGAAGGCACACTGAACCAGCATGGCTACCACAGCATCCTGCAGCGACATGCCATCCCATCCGGTTTGCGTTTAGTTGGACGATCATTTATTTTTCAACAGGACAATGACCCCAAACACACCTCCAGGCTGTGTAAGGGCTATTTGACCAAGAAGGAGAGTGATGGAGTGCTGCGGCAGATGACCTGGCCTCCACAGTCACCGGACCTGAACCCAATCGAGATGGTTTGGGGTGAGCTGGACCGCAGAGTGAAGGCAAAGGGGCCAACAAGTGCTAAACACCTCTGGGAACTCCTTCAAGACTGTTGGAAAAACATTTCAGGTGACTACCTCTTGAAGCTCATGGAGAGAATGCCAAGAGTGTGCAAAGCAGTAATCAGAGCAAAGGGTGGCTATTTTGAAGAAACTAGAATATAAAACATGTTTTCAGTTATTTCACCTTTTTTTGTTAAGTACATAACTCCACATGTGTTCATTCATAGTTTTGATGCCTTCAGTGAGAATCTACAATGTAAATAGTCATGAAAATAAAGAAAACGCATTGAATGAGAAGGTGTGTCCAAACTTTTGGCCTGTACTGTATATATTTGAAATAGGACTTTTTTTGAGTTCATCAAAGGTGCCTTGGCTCAGTGGAGTTTCCCATGGTTCTATACTGGGGCCACTGCTGTTTTCTGTCTACATGTTGCCACTGATACATATAATAAGCAAACATAATATTGAATTTAACTTTTATGCATATGTTTTCTTTGGATTGTTTTAATATTCTGCGACTTGATCGCCTACCTGACCCAGAAAATATGACAGTTCATGTTACCACAATTTGAAGATCTTTTGTATCTTCACTAAACTGAACTATAAAAGATAAAATATTTCAGGAACCTGTTATATGTGCATTTGCCTCACTGCATAGCTGCCTAAGACAAACGGAACTGTCAACAGACTTGAGTCAGCACAAACCCCTACTGACTGATCTACAATGAGGCAAAACACCATGTCAGTTTTAGTTACAGCATAACATTTTACTAAACAATTTTAAAACATGCCAGGGACCTAGCCCCGAATACTTCTGGACTCTAGCCTTTTCGTGGTCCAAAGGTACTTTTCAGATGATGATGCCTTTATGTAGGACCCCTAAACAGATGTGCCTTAGAAAATTAAATTAGCCCGACCACTTTTTGATTCCCTTTTGAAGATACATTTGCTTTAATATCTACTAAAATAAATAAGTAAAGAGACTGTTCTTTACATATCATTTTAATTGTGAAATATATTGGTTTTACTTTGTTTTGAATCAATATTTTTTATTATGTATTTTATTGTATTTGCTGTATTTGTAGATGTAGTAGTGGAGTTAGTAATATAGCTACTTCTCTGTTGCATATTCTTGATACTGACTGCATAATTTCAATGAGTGATATCACACCTGCTGCTCAGTAAAATGGAATTCACAAAGACATGTGTGATGTGTCTTTTAGGCAGGAAATGGGGTTGTTATCTCCTTTTTGTGCCTATTGGTTGCCACGGGAACTAATCTACAGAGTTTAAAATGCGTGCTCACATGCATAGACCTTAGGTGAGTTTGCCTCAGTGCAGTTTTGTATGTTCTATCATTACCACACAAAGGGACCCATATTGCCTGTGTGGACAATTAGGCTGCCTTTAATACATTGATCAAACATAAGTATGTAATCATCAGTCAGAGACACAGTGAATGTCAGTGGGTCTCTGAATTATTCCCATGGATGTGCTAAGCAATATAATATTTGATCTGGCCCATAAAAAGTGTGGAATTAAAAAGACAAAAAAACAAAAGAAGCAATCAGAGAGTACCAATGGAAGTTCAGCCTCTTCAGTCTGGGTTTGGACTTACTCTTAAGGATGTGTTACTTTCAGTTTAAAAGTTCCTCATTTAGCTTGAAATAAAGGTCTATCTCATGCATTTATGAATGCACCATAAATGTGTGGTAAAGGGTGGAAAAGGAGACAATTTATCTAATTTGAATATATTTGTTCTCATTTCACTACCACAATGATGGAGTGGCAGATAGGCAATGGAGCTTGGTGGACATTCAGCAGGGTTTATTAAACTATAGCTCACTGTTATGATGGTCAGGAAAGTATTTACTCAGGTTTGTTTCACAATAGACAGCATTATGTAATAGGCCATTATACTGATGATGTTTACTATGTTGCCGGTATCAGCCAATGTGCATATTGCAAATATCAGATTTTTTAATACAGTCTATTTAGTTACAGAAAGTCGAATAATAGCCTAATAATATTAATCCTTATTATTATTATTATTATTATTATTATTATTATTATTATTATTATCATCATTATCATCATTATCATTATTATTATTGTTATGATTATTATTATTATTGTTGATATTATTATTATTACAAGAAAAAATACAAACCATAAACCGGTCTTGAATCTGTACCCTAAAACACACAAACATGCATACACACACTATCTCCATCTCCCTCTCTCCCTCTCTCTCTCTCTCTCTTTCTCAGTCTGACACTCATAAACACACACACACACACACACACACACACACACACACACAGACCATGCCTGTCACACTGAGCCAGTCATCCTGTAATGGCTGCCACTGCTCATTGTTCACATCCTGCTTTGTCTTCAGCGCCATTTTGACTCTGCAGGAGGAGGAGCAGCTAGTTAGCATCATATCCACACACACACCAATGGCAGGGAGTTAGCCATGCTAACTCGGGGTTTGGTCCACACTCACCCCACAGGCTTAACTATGGCAGAGAATTTGCAATGCTGGGCTACTATTGGCCTCCATACTAATAAACTACATACATAGAGAGTGATGTGCTACACTGTTAGCTCTGGGTCACATACAGTCAGTAGGCTACAAGGCTACATTGTTACTCTGCTATCCCCACATGGTGAACGCTACTGCTGGTGGAGACCCATGCTCTTAGCTCCTGCCCAGAGGGAGAGGGCTACACATGCTAAGCTAATGTGTGATGGGGGAAAACAATGACCCTACTGTGGCCTCAGACTGTTTCTCCTCTTTTTATCTGCTCTGGAAAAGATCTCAGTCTGCAGGGTTATCTCTGTGTAAACACATGTTGAACCATTCTGAGCCATACCAGGCTATATCAGGCTATACAATATGTTTGTTTTATACCGTGGCAGAACTAGACAGAGCCATGCATTTAAACTTGAAATCTGCGAGCAGTTCAAATTATGAGCCACAATTAAAATATATATATTACAAGATTAGAATACAATAAAATAACACATATTTAATTATGAGGACAAATTGTGGGCTAACTTAATAATTAGGGGCAAAAATAACAAAACAGAAAAGTATGTGCTTATGGTTAATTGCAATGTGTATTATGGAAATTATATATAGTATAAAAATACAAAAATATTGTTTATTAGTACAAGTAACAGCAACCAGATTTAATAGTTCTACTACTAAAATGCAATTGAATGCTCCTTTCGTTTGTTTTTTTTTTTTTTTTTTTAATATTTTAATATTCCACTGTATTATTAGAGGTAAATGTATTAGTTATATTTACTGCATTCCATGTCTCAGCATAATTACTATGTGGATATTCAGGTCCCCTTGCATTCATATAGCCTAAAATAAAACGACATAGGCCACATCGTAAATGTTTGTGTGTTTTTATTATTATTATTATTCCACTATGAAAATATATGTACAATAAATAATTTGGATTTTCACTATTAAAGAATCTCAATAAATAAACTAGGGTCTAAAACTCGGGTCATCAGCAGGGCTTCTCTCTCTCTCTCTCGTCTTGTCTCGCTCAGAGAGAGAAAATGAATTCATTCTTCAGTTGAGATTTTCTAAAAGCAGTCCAGCTATCTGCGCCTAGACTCCGTGAACAGTTCCTGAGAAGTTATTAAGGATCCATGAAGCTGCACCAGAATGCACTAGAGGAAATAAATCCACACATACTGAAAAGGGTTAATCATTTTAACGAAAACGGCCGAAAAACAAGAAAGGCAATAAATACCTGAACAAGGGGAGAGAAAAAATCCACAACGTTTCGATCGTGGAAAAAGCAAAAACTATTTCCCTTCGATGTTTGAAATAAAAATAAAAATAAAATGAAATTAGACGCATCTCTCTTAAACTACATTATAGCCGCAAAATAAAACCAGCAAGAAGAGGAAAAATATATTTATAAACGAACATAATTTTCAGAATTGTTTCAGGAATGTTGCCGAGAAGCTTTTATGCTTTTGAAACAACAGAGTCCTCGCCGAGTCTCCTCCGCTCGATTGTTCATCCACACAGGCCTGTCCGTCCACTCCTTCTTTATTCGTCTTTTTCTTTCACATCTGCAGCCGGCCTCAGAAGTTGAGGTGCTGCAGGTCTATGGTGCACAGTGTGCTTGTGAACAGGTCGAAGTCCTCCTCGGAGAAATCCACCGGACTGTCCAGGGAACTCTGCAGGCTGGGTGACAGGCAGGCGTCCCCGGCAAAGAAGGTCAAATCGGGGAGCGCCGATGAGGAGGCGGCAGGAGGAGCAGAGGAGGAGGCTGAGGTGATGGAGGAGTCTTGCTGCTCTGAGAATGACGGATCGGCCGCCGCTGCTGCTGTGGGCCCGGCCTCGTTGAGCTGCATCAGGCCCGTGTTATCAGCGGAGGTCGTCGCGGGGAACGCCGGCGGGGAGTGGTGCGCCGCAGCAGAGTCAGAGGAGCCAGATGCCTCTGGTAGCGGTGGGCGTTCGGGACGGCTCAATCGGCCTCCCTTCTCCGGCGTGGGTTGTGCATTATCCCCACTGTCATTAGCGTAGGCGTTGGCCGAAGATGGATTGCAGCTCCCCGCCTCGCCGTCCGATGTAGCCTCCCCTGTGCCAGACGCTTCCAACGGCTGGCTTGAGTACGGGGATGAGGCATCGGCGCCTTCGAGCGGCTCAAACCCGCCCGGGTCGCCGGATTCGTGGCCTCCTCCGCCACCGCCGTCCCGGTGGTGCGTAGTCTGTCGCTTGTGTTTCATGCGCCGGTTCTGGAACCAAACTTTAACCTGCCGCTCGGTCAGATCCAAAAGGGCGGCGATCTCCACCCTCCTGGGCCGGCAGAGGTACTTGTTGAAGTGGAACTCCTTCTCCAGCTCCAGCAGCTGTGTGTTCGTGTAGGCGGTGCGCAGCCGGCGGGACCCGGCTCCTCCACTATCAAGACTCGCCTGGCTCGGGTCTGCAGGGACACAAAGACAAATAAAAGGGGAGAAAAATGATGTGGTTGATTTATTGTGCACAAGCTATTCTCATTTTTTATTTTAATTTTATATTTCGTTTAAACTTGGAATTGTAATCTATTTCATAAGAGCCCTGTAAAACCTCTACAATTTTATTGCGTTCAAGATTTCCAGCCAAGAAATAAGCTGCTTCAGCATCGAGCAGAATTCCCCTCGGCTCTTCTGTATGTAATAAAACAGTAATAAAACACAAAAAGTGTCGTAAAAAATACTCCTTCCAATTACAGTAGCAGCCAAAGCCATAACTGTAAGAGCGGACCAATTTGCTGCTGGTAAAAATAATAATAATAAAGCAAAGAAAAGGCAGATAAAGACAGATGATCACAATGTCAAAAAGTGTTTCTCTCTTCCAGTGCAGCCTGCTGTGAGAGGCTGCGGCGTGTGATCAGAGAAATGCAAAGAGAGAAAAATAAATAAATCATGGGATAGGGAGGAAATGTGCAGGGATATGTGGGAATGTCGATGTGAAACCAATGTGGCGGCATCTGTCAGGAACATAACTAACACCATGAATGGCTTTATGAATGAGATCAGAAAAAGCAGGAAATTGGAACACGAGGAAACAAGAAATACCATTAAAATGAATGGGGTGGGATTTTGTGTGTTTGGAGAAGCGAGGAAAGAAAAACTTAAAAAAAAAATGCATTGATTGTTATGGAGGCCAGTATACAAGACAGAAATGTCCTAAACCAAGAAAATCTGATTGTGTGCAGTCTGTATCCTGTGTGGATGTAGCTTATACCCCTCCCCCCAACCCCCACCCAAACATATTTTGTCCGGGTGCTTTGCCTCGCCATTATACGTATATCCTACCTCCATCCAATATGGCTACCATCTCAGTTGTGTTATGAATATATAATGCCAGGGTGATGCTGCTGCTGCTGATTCCAAATCACACCACCCAATGAACAGAATGATACAAGCAGCAGCAGCAGCAATCATCTGCAGGATGCAGATAAAATAAAAAATAAGCCCTCTGTGCGTCTTTACGCACGATAAATAATTATATATGGACAGAATGCATTTTGGAAATTTGGGCAATAGATGCTACAGAACTAACAGGTACTGAGGGGAGGTTTGCACTTAATTCTACACAGTGATCCTATAAATGACTTAAAATGTGCGTAATATGTTAATAGGTGCATATTTAAATGCATGATGAGAGAGTGCAAAGCACTGCAGCATAATGCAGTGGTCCAGATATGGCTTCCCTGTTGACACAGCATCATAGCACTGCACAATACACACAAACACACGCGCGCGCACACACACACGTACACACTCACTGAGGAAGAAAAAGACAATGTCATCTAACCAAATCCATGCTCTGTGTAATAAATGATAGGTAATTTCTGAAGTGGAAGTGAAATGAAGATGCAGACAGAAAATTAAAGCTCAGGCTGCACATCCCTCACCCTCCCATCACACACACACACACGCATACTGGCTCCCGCTTCCCAGCATACCGACCTGTGGGTGACTCGATGCCCGCCGAAGCGTACCCGGAGGCGGTCGGCGACGGGGAGGACGAGGCAGGGGGCAGGATGGATCCGCCACCACTGGAGCTGCTCCCAGGCTTAGTGCACTTCTTCGATGACTTCTTCTCCTTCATCCAGGGGAACTCGTGGGCCAGCGGACCGGCCGGGGTGGCCGTGGCCGGGGCAGGGGCCTGGCCGGACGGGCAGGGCTGCTGGGCGCCTCGGTGGTGCGTCTGGAGGCCATTAGTGACGGAGGTTCTCCGGTTCTGCTGGCTCCCAGCAGCCGGTCTCGGCTGGCTGGCTGTGCAGGGGCTGAGGCTGGGGATGGTGTGCTCGAAGGGAGGCGGAATTACTGTCGACTCCTTGATTGATGAAGTTTGAAATGACTCCAGGACGGCGGGGAAGGACGTCAGGCACTCTGCTAGGGACGGCTGGCTGTTTATAAAACCGATCTCCCTCTCAAATTCAAAATTCATAGCTCCCTCAAACCGGCTTCAACCTCAAACGGCGAGACCCCCGAACAATCCCTTCCCCAAAATAAAAAAAATAAAAAAACACACATACACACACGCACGCTCGCACACGCACGCGACACAATATGGCTTCTTAAAAAAATAAAACGAAATGAAAAAACGCACGAGCATATAGGCTCCCGACCGCAATGGCGTAAATGCGGTGGCTATATAATAATTGTGTATATTGGTGATATTACTAGCGTATGGGGACCTGGGTAGGCTAAACTGAAGAACTGTGGGGCGAAATTGCAGCCAATTCCTGGTCATGTGACCCAAATCATCCAATCAACGGCCCGGGCCTGGCGGCGGCGATGGCTGTGGGAAGCAGCATTATTATTTTTCCACCAAATGCTGTGGCAAAGAGGGGCTATATGACAGGGTAGCTGCTATTGTTTTGTCTTAACGGGGGGGAAAGTGTGGGGAGAAAAAACGACGGTCGCCATGTGCGCTGTGTGGGCGGCGGGCAGGCGCATCCCGGCCCGGTGTTACGCACAAACAATAGAGCATCCCTCGGACATTTTTTCGGTCCTCTGGGTGATGTAATGACGGTTAACATTAGGTGAACGGAGCTGGCCAGCACCGTTTACAATATGGCTCCTTCTACTGTTTACAGCACTCAGCTCATTAATCTTATAAAGTGTGACAGAGGCTAAAAAAATCCCCAGTTTAGACACAGAAAACTTGGAGAGGGGTTTAAATGGCGCAGCAGCTCAGGAGAAGATGATGAACATTTGTACTCAGGTAGTGAAGATGAAGCAGATTGGCTTCTTACAAAGCAGAGAGGCAGAAATCTATATTTTACTGGGAAGAGAGAGGGAGCCTGTTGGTGTGTAAGTGAACAACTTTTTGTTTCATGTATTTGGGTTTATGTTTGTTTATTAGTACACTAGTTGTTAGAGCATTTGTCCATGTGTATTTGTAAGATAGACAGAGAGGAACCTAAACATTATCTAAATATAATCTCACTAAAATAGCCTCTGCACACAGGCTCCAAATGTCTTCTTGCTTGCTACCTCTCTCACCCTCTCAGTGTGATGTATGTGTGTTAAAAATGGTCGGTGTGTTTACGCAGAGAAAGAGAGAGAGAGAGGGAGAGTTCACAGCGAGGTCGCTCCGAAAAGGAGGCAAAGCGCAGGCCTCCTGTTCCTCCTAATAGGAAAAATAATAATACAGCAGCAATAATATAAACGATAATTGTAAGTGAGAGTGTGCTGAGTGGCCTGCAGACTCAACAGGACGCACATGCAGATTTTTATAAAGATCAGGAACTCCAGAGTTTAGCAGAGGATATTTTGGGGAGGGCACGAGGAGCCCCGAGTGGGAAAAAAGTGCGGTGATCAATCTTTCTCTCCGTGCAAAGAGCCTGACAGCAGCCCCTCTCTGCCCCTAAATACCAAGAAACCCTCGAGTCGTACTCTCTCTGTCTCTCTTCAGTTAGATCCACTATTCGCCGTGTTTTATTGTTTTTGCACCGGTTTTACGCACAGAAAATACGCCCATGTGTAAACGTCACGCAGTAATATTTAATCTGTTGAGGAAAACATATATAATAAAACGACTCAGATACAAGGGATAAATGGATATAAGCTATTTAGCTCGCACCCCCTTCTCTCTCTCTTTCCCATGCCATTTGGCTTCGCTCCCTGACTCTGAAAAAAAGAGGCAGATAAAAAAGCAGAAATGTGTGTGGGAGTGAGGGCCATTGAACGTAGCAGAAAGCGCAGGCAGTGAGTAGGCCGAGGCTGCACGGACACACACACCAAGACACAAGCCCAAACACAGAAGATACAATCTGCTGACTGAGCTGCAGCAGCACACCTATTTTCTCCATCTCGCTTTAATTATGTCAGGATTTTTTTTTAATTCTTGTTTTTTGGTACATTTCGGAGCAGTTTTGGAAGTTTTGTTGGAGAGTTTTTTTTTCTGTTTTATGTTCGTCATAACATGGGACGTGTGGATTGGTCGACTGACTTATTCTATTTTGCTATCAGGTTTTTTTGTTTGTTTGTTTTTGGGGTTAACTGAGGGTAAATCAATTGATTGTACTTTGACTGCGTTTCATTTGTATTTCATTTTAATAAATACTAATTACTGGTATTTAATATTTTAATTGGTCCAAGACCTCTTTCCGGTAAGACAGTAAAAAAGCATTAGAATCAACCTTTCATGAATTATGGTTCCTCTTTCTTTTTAGAGTAAAAATGTAAAAATGACCAGAATTGTTCTATTAGTACATTCATTAGTATTGTTATTAATATAACTGCATGATAAACCAAGACGTGTTCACATCTGACTGGTACCTTTTGGACACATTTCCTGCTTAGCACACCTAAAAATCGTAACCTTATTAAATTGCACTTGTAATTTCTGACTCCAGATCAGCCCGTGTACCTGCTGTGAGCGTGTTCTACAGTAATAGCTGTGGTGTTTTCAGCTGTGAGTGCGTTGCTGAGGCCGAGCCGAGCTCTCCGTCTGTTTTTATGAGGCAATAAATTAGATCCAATCTCTGCTTATTGGTGTTTTTATTGTCTGTTAGTCCAACGGAGATGTAAAGGGAAGTACGGCCATTATTTATGGGAGCCTGATTTATGTCTCAAGTTTTATGCTGCTCTCAGGCCTCTCAGCACAAGCGCGTGCTGAGGAGAGAGAGAGAGAGAGAGAGAGAGAGAAGGTGGAGGTGGGGTTGGGGCGTTAGAGACCATGTGACTGGGCCTCGGGGCTTTTTTTAGTCATAAACATCAACATAGGACACAAAGCTGGCGAGAAGATCATCAGTGTGTGTGGAAAGAGAGAGAAAACAACAGAAAAAGAAAAGCTGAAAAGGAGAAAATTTTAAGTTGAAATGTCTGAGCTTTGATCGCTGTTTGAAAGCCCTCTGCTTTTGGTACCCAGTTTCTACTCTGGTCCAGTAAAATTTGGGTCACAGCTGACTTATTGTGTCTCCTACTGTTGAAAAAGGTCTTATTATTTTGCTCCCAAAGAATGAAAAATAACTTTCTAAGTAAGAGTAAAATAAGCTTTAAAAATAGTTATAAAAATAATCTGATAATTCAAATGGTGATATATTCTTAAATAGTTTACCAGGAGATTAGCTGAATAGTAAAATGTCTGATGCCCATGAGTTTCTGCATGGTACGACTAAGCAATACAAGACATCTGTAAAAGAAATTGCCCATATTTATATTTAACTCCAACCATCTGCTGGACTGTCTGCTATATAGACTAAAGAAAAAATCTTAATTGAGGCTCCACTCACTAGATTTTTCGAGAGCTTTCAACCACACTTCAAGGTCTCTCTCAAGTTAAACCACTTAAGTTGTACAGAAGTGGCTCCACAACACCACTGAATTTAACTGGGATCCTTGGAATAAAGTGAGCAGTGTTTACGCAGAGGGACAGATTGTTCCCGTGTGAAATGTCCAGATTTAGGGGTCAGATAGGGTTTCAGTGTGTTGCTCAAGGACACTTCAGTAGCACAGGTCTGTTTTTTATCATTTCAAATCATAACCTGCATTCATTTTTGCAAAAGCGTATTTTATTTTTGTAGAGTCTCAACTGTTTTCTCCAGCATTAGTGAGTTACATATAATCTGTCAGGTGCCATACTCTACAAGACATTAAATATTAAGGCAAGTTCTGAGTGAGTTTGAGCTTTTGCTGTTACTGAACAAAGATTTTGACTAATAGTTTGGAGTTTTCAGACAAAAACAACAGAGCTACAGTCATTGTGAATACCCTTAAAAAAGAAAAGAAAAAACAAGCAGTAAAAGTTTTTTAGTTCAGGAATAACTCTTGGACCCGACCTTAGACCTTTACTGGGGTGCAGCCCAGTATGGTGCATCATTGGTGCTGGTAATCAATATAATACATGCATACCAGCCACCAGCAAAACAGTAGCAGAAGCTACCAGTGGAACATTTGTCTGCACCAACAGACACTTTGTAAGTCATAATGGAGACTGGAAGTGCATTTGAAGTTTTCTTAAAGGCCAAAGATATTTTCCCTCTGACATGTAACATGTCGCTCTAGGCTCCAGATGTAATTATTGAGAAAGTTTGCTGACAGTGATGCCACGCTTTAGCCTGAGGTATTGACCCGATATTCAATACTGGCATCAGTGTCAGGTCATTCCTGAACTAGAGATATGCTGTTTGAAAGCAGTCACACCTACACTAGAACATATTATAAATGATACTAATGCAGGCCAATACTTGTTGTACGCATCACTTAACAATTGTAAGCAAAGTGATTTGTTCAAGATTTGAACAGTTATATGTGCATTAAAAAGATTTAGGTAAACTAATGTTGCTGTCTCGTTTATTAAAGATATTAACCTTTCAGTTTCAACTCTATGACTAATGGGAATTTTTTATTTAGTTATTTGTTTTTAAAATTGGTCCAGTATTGAGCTAGACCACTGCAGCCAGCAGCTGCAAAACAAGTTGCAATGTAACCACTTGGGGCATTTGTGCACCGTCAATTTACGCTCACAAATAGTTCTTCTTTTTGCCACTGACAGACTTACACTGTTACTATAAGTGTCTGATAACAATATGGAAAAGGTTCCTTCATAGGTAGATCTGATTGTTAAATAGTAAAATCCTTTTTGTTTAACCAGAAACAGCCCAAATCACCATCGCAAAACCTGCCAGACTACATTTAAATTAACAATTATTTTATTATTATAAAACACACTTATCTGAAAGTCAACAGTAACCAAACAAATCTTACAAAAGGCATCTCTCCACTGTTCCAATGATCACCAGCTCTGGTTTGGTTGAAATGAACCCTTAATTCACCCAGTCAGATGTGAAAATATGCTGGCTCTAAACAGGTTAAAATCACTGTTAATTTAAATGCAGTCTGGTAAGTTTGTGATTTCATGTTTTTGGTTAAACAAAAAGGATCTAACTGTTTAGCAAAAAGATCGAACTCTGTGGGGATCCTTTTGAAAATGTTGTTCAACACTTAGTATAACAATCTGAATCTGTCAGTGGCAAAAACAAACTCTTTCAGTGGACATACACTGATAGCAATCTCGCTCAATACCGGACAAATTTCCCATTAATCATTTCGAAGCAAAAACATGCAAAAATGAGTACAGGTTGAAAATTACAGAAGTTACCCTTTAAGTAGGTTAAATATATTTTTTGAAAGAATATGTTATCCTTAAATTAAATAATCAGCAAAAAGTTTGTTGAGTTCTCATCCTGCTGTGCGAATATTTGCATATTTTGATAGTGATTTTTGCCCCAGCTGGCAGACAGGAGGAGCCCAGCAGTGCAAAGGGTTGTTTGTGTGTTGCCATGGCAGTCAATACAATTGGTGTTGGCGGGTTTTCACCTGACAGTAACACTGCCTAACAAAGTGTTAGATGGGACTGTCTGGGTTTTCAAGATAATGTCTGTAATAGCGATTCACCCAAACACCTGAGAATCATGAACAAACTGACAATAACTCTGAATAACATAACATTTTATTAAAGAATTGCTCGACAGACAACTCTCTCAACAATGAAAGAAAAGGAGCTACAAAGGACAAAGAAAGAAGTTGTTTTTCTCCAAAAAAGACTCGTTCTTTTTTCCAGCTAATAGTTTGTCTAAATTTTCCGACTATGCACAGACGGGTCACCAATCCCCATCCTTGCCCTTTTCCCTGTACAAGCCAAGACATGTATGTACAAGGGTCATTATAGGAACATAAAAACTACTTATTTTCTTCTAAAATACAACAACTAAAAAATGTAACTTCAGTACAATGGACAAGAAGAAACACAATGTTTTTTTTTTTTCTTTCATAACAGGTAAATACTAAAAAAGTACAGTATTTTTTCCTCGATATAAATACATGAAGGATAAATAATAATAATACAAAACAGAAAGTCTTTTTAAACTGGCTATAACAAATAAATATTTATATATGAATGTTCACTTGAACACACATTGGCGAAAGACGCTTTGATTGGAGGGCCTTCCGTCTTCAAAATAAGATTTTATTATTATTATTTTTTACCTTTAACCATCAAAATGTAAACTCTAAGTGCAACAATGATGCCCAGATGTGAAAAGCATTTGTGTAAATCTGCACTTTTAAAAAACAATCAGAGGATTTATTTCCAGAACAGCAGAGAGTGAAGTGCGGTCAACCACACACAGCTTGTGTTCTGGTTTGAACCCCAGCTGTAACAGTCTGATGTGCATGTTGTCCCAAACTCCCCTCACTGACAGTTCAGACAAATAAATCAAGTTGTTTTAAAAATATGTGATACACATCAGCCCACATTTCTGGGACATGCATTTTTGTTCAAATATATACCCTGTATCCACGTTAAAAGTCAAGATATGTGAGAACAAAACAAAACAATATAAAATGTGGACTTTTACGCATTGGTGTCCGCTAATGTAAGTGAACCCTTCCAAAGTGATAGACAGAGAGAGAGAGAGAGAGAGAGAGAGAAAGAGAGAGAGAGGGCAATGACTTACCCAAACATAAATAAATAGTGTTCTCCACTCTTATTATTTACCCTGTGTCGATGATGTGCTAAAATAAGAACATTAAAAATTTCTTTTCCATGTCCTCTCCTGTTTGTTTAAAGATGTCAACAGCTGGCCGAACCTGGCTGTGAATGTGTGTCAACGGAAGGAAGCTAGCTTAGCATTGCTGTGTGTGTGTGTGTGTATGGAGTTGTGATTAACTAGCATAGCTTAGCACAGATGTGTGTCTATGGGAGCTAGTTTAGCCTTTGAGCTCATAGCTTCTTAAACCCTGTTAGATTGATGGGAGGGGTGGTGAGTGCATGTGTAGTGATGGATGTGTGCGTGTGGGGGGGGCGGTCTGTGGCGGATTGTGGGAAATTTTTGCCTTCTTCAGAAGCCATGTGCTGCTGCCACAGACAGGAGACGGTGGGTTAGTAGTGATTCAGTCTAGACGGACAGAGACAGGTACAGCAGGAGGCAAAAAGGGACAGTGAAGGGAGGACCATCCAGTGGCTTTTACGTGCTTTGTCGAATGAGGGGAACGGAGGAAGACGAGTGCTGCCAGCTTCAGCCATATATTTCTGTTCTCTCTCTCTGGCTGATGGAGAGGCAGAGCCCTCCACATAGCTCAGCTCGGCTGACAACAACATGTGTTGCCTAGAGGGGGAGAGAGCTCAGCGTCATAAATCTAACCACCTCGTTAACTGCCCATTAAAATCTCAACAATTTCATTTACCAGGCGGGAGAGCTGTTTGTATATGTGCGTGTCTTAGGGGGGAGATTTTATTATCAAAGTACAATTTTAAACCACATACTACCTCTAACAACATGCTAGCTGAGCTACTGCTGTAATTTGCTCCACCCACACAAAAACTGTTTTGCAGTTATTTTTGCTGAGTAACTTAAACACATTATACTAAGGGCATAGGTTACATTTCAACATTAGGCGGGGGAGACATAGGTCTATGATACAGGGGGTGTGGGAGTCCTCAACCATAAAATATTTAGCAAATTCCTGCATTCTGGTGACTCTATATGCACCAATTTGTGCCTTCTCTGCATCAATTTATGGTTGAAATTCCTGAATTTTGTCAAAATAACAGCTATGTCTATGTTTTTTTTGCAAATGCAAATGTTCTAAATATTGAGGGGGGTGTGTCCCCTCTGTCCCCCTGATTCTGACACCCATGCATCATACAGAAAGATTTTTCTGTCCTTTCAGATTTTTTGTTTTGTTTTTGAGAAATATATTTAATACAAAACTGACATCTGCTTTGTTTGAGTACAGTATTGCAGTTTTCTGATTGACTGTGCAGTAGATTATCTGCCTAATGAAACAATGGTGCTCACCATAGATCCTGTTATGCCATACAGCTGCCGATATGTCTCTGCACCAGTGCCACGAGACGAGCTTCCTGACATTTATTGTCCCCAGGGGAACGTGGGAGACAATTGACTGTACACTTCTTCTCCCACGCCTACAATATGCTTCACTGAGTGTAAATTGCTCTAAAAAGGTTCATGATAAATGTGAAACCAAGAGTACTAAAATATAAAATAAATCACTGATAACATACTCTAAACCCTTAAGCAATTTTGAATATGTAAGTTAAATTTAAAAACTGATAATGCACTGTCGAATGCTTTAAAATGTATTTTCCTCATGCAAGTGTTCATAGCAGAGAGTACGTTTGGTCCCAGCTTAAAAAGTTCTTGGACATATTTTGGTAACTTCCATTAATTTCAGTGCTTTTACACTGTAGATATGTGCCTCTTATTGACTTTTTGGCAACACAAATGGTTTGTGTGCATCATTGCTACTTGATAATGGGCATAACTTTTGTCTTTTTTAAACTAAATGAACTGCACTTCAAAGGCAACAGTGGAAGCTCTAGCCCTAATCAGAAGGCAGTGGAAACAGGGTGGGGCTGGACAACACCAAACACTGATCGCTCCCCATTGTGGCTGTGGAGCACAGGACAAATCACCGGATGGCTCCCGTCTGTCCCCTTTTGTGTCTCCTGCCACCCCGTTGCAGCAGTAGAGTCCCCATGTTAGTTAGTCTGTTAGTGAGTCACGTCGTGTTACGTGTTCTGTGTTGTCTTCACTATTTCCTACGTTGTCATTTTGTTCCAAACCTGCTACAGGTGAGTGAGCTTGGGTGCTTCCTGGATTCTGCCCTGAGTCGAGGTGTGGTGCGCCGACAGCTCGGTGTACGTCGGGTGTGTGGGCGGGTCACAGGGACCCTGAGGACCCCCTCCGCCCACATGGTGCTGGTTGGCTGCCGACATAGGCCCCGCGCCGTTGTAGTCCATGGTTTGGTGGTGGGGTGGCGTGGGGCCGAGGTGGTTTAGCCCATACATGGAGGGCCCCGAGCCAGGCATGGGTTCCACATAGCTGCCACCCCCCACATAGACTGGACTAGCCTGCATGTTGGTGGGAGTCCCGTAGCCAGCGTTGTTGGCCTGCACCAGGCCATGGTGAGGATGGGGGTCGCCATAGTCCGGGTCTGGGGCACCATACTTCTGTTGGGGGGGGCAGCCCTTCATGGAGACATTGGAGTAGGCAGTGGACATGGAGTAAGACACTCCCTGGTGGGGCTTGCCAAAGGATGGCGGAGATGGGACATCGTAGCCTGCCCCTCCACCCCCGCCTCCCCCTCCCATAGGGTGCATTGAGTTAAGGAAGCTGGCGGAGGACTGCATGGTGAGGGGTGGGGAGCCAGTAGGGGAGGGCCCTCCAGAACTGGAGCTCAGGCCCTTGGACTTCTGGTCCTTCTTGTACTTCATGCGTCGGTTCTGGAACCAGATCTTGATCTGACGTTCGG